AACTTTCCGACTAAGAGCACATTAGTCTGGTTTGAATTTCCTTGTGCTGTCTGTGTAACAGTGTCATGAGTTTAAATCACTGAAGGATCAGTGCTGTACATCACCTGAAAGTGCATTTCCTGTCAGTATGGATCTACAGAGCCTCACGGCCATCAGTTACTATAAGTGTAGGGTTTAAAAACATCACTCATGTGAACTTGTGGCTCTACAGGCCTCAGTAATGACTATAAACCTACTTATCTTTATTAATATGTCCTCAGAAGTCCTCATGCAGTTTACAGGCTATATATGAAAGTGTCACTGCTGCAGTCATTCATTCCTAAAACCTGCATCTTCCATGTTTGTTGGCTTGGTCCCCAACCATGTGTTCATTTATAACTTACATCCACAAACACACACAACATAATACAAACTTAATACATTTGACTTCAAATGATTTTTACTGCCCTTTCTTTTAATCCTGCTGTTTGTTTGCTTTCTAATGCACCATTGAATGTGCTATATAAATAACACTTGCTTTTCTCCATCATTGCATTGTTTATTTGATTATACCTCTTCTTTGCCTTGCGGTGAAAGAATGAATATAACAACATTCCTCCCTTTCCGTGTTCCCTTTCTCTGCAATCAGTGTAAGCCGGTGCCGTGGCTGAGCATCGCCGACTTCAAGCAATAACAAAAGAAAACCCCTGTGTGCGATTTGATCTCTCTCCATGTCTGTGCTTAGCACTTGAAAGAGACATGTGGGCGTGAGAGACTTACAGTGTGAGACGACTTACAGTGTCTGTGCTCTGTGTTAAGATTTGCATGTGCTGACTGTGCCACCCACCTCCTTCTGCGTAGACATGCAGTGGACAGTGGACAACAATGATGGCAGTCAGGATTCTTTCATGGAAACAGGCTGGCACAGTCAGAGTCTCTTTGACAAAAAGTGTAACAGCATATTTAGCACTCTGGTAACAGGTCATACTGCTCTTCTTGATTAATAGAAAAAAATTCCATGGACACAATACAGGGTACCCTGTAAACATACATTATGTTTGCACATTGTGCAGCATATGCAGTTTCTACATATTTTGGTAAACTGGGGCCATTACAATTGGGATCAAATTGCCTGTTAGCAACTCTTTTTGTAATGCCCCTGGCCCTGTTGAATGAGCTCACTGACTCACCCAAAAGCAGACAAAAGGGCAACAGGCTGCCGGTAATTTCAAAGATTGTGTATTTAAACAGAAGGTCTTATACAAACGTGCTTGGAAAAACAAAAAACTTGAAGAAATCTAAAAGAGAAGTAGAGCTACCAAAAGGTGCAAGCCAGAATTAAACAAAGTGGAGACAAAAGGAATGGGAAACAGACCAAGACTGAGGAAACTGAGACACACTAAATACACACCATAGACAGAGAGAGGCAATAAAAACAGGTGAACTCACTCAAACACTGATGAGGGTGGGGAAAAGAACAAAAAAAACACAAGAAGAACTAATCAAGAACTAACAAGACTAAAAGGGTGAACCAAGTAAAGTCAACAGATAAAACAGATAAAAGAGTAGGGGAAAAACCATCAAAGAAACAAAACGAGAAAAAACAGCACTTCTAACTAAAAGTGTAGTTTGTTACAAAAACCATGACATACACAAAATTAAGGATGCAGCAAGATGTTCTACAGTTATAATGTGAGTCTGACAGTATTAGCGATGGGCCAAATCAACAAGCTGCACTGCAGTTTTTACAAAGCAACGCACATTTCTTACACTGCAGTATTTTTGCACACCCCACGGGAGAGGAGTACCTTATAGTCTGAATGCCCCCACTCGTGCTAAGCCAAAGTATTCAAATAATCACTGCATATTTAGGATAATAATTTCACTATTCATATAGTTTTCGAGGGTCATAAAAAATCAAGTTCAAGTATTAAAAGGAAGATTACATTTTGCTAGAGGAGCTTTGCATGATGAGTATTCTTTCAAATATCCGCTTTATCTTATACCTTTGGCCCTGAAGTAAGTAATGAAGTATTCTGATTCTGACTGTAATTAAGCTCAGTGTTCATGATTCAACAATAAGAAGGAAAGTGGGCAGACTGGGCATCCATGGGAGGGTTCTAAGTAGAAAACCACTGCTGACTTAAAAGAACACAAGAAAAAAGACAAAACCTTAATGACCCCTACAACTTTCGGGAAATTGTTCTGTGGATTGACGAGACAAAAGCTGGCTGGTTTGGAAGGTTTCTGTCCAAGGCCAAGTCAAAGACCGGACTTATGCTTCTCCACGGCCTACAACTGGCCTTTAATGCTCGACTTCTGCAAAGATGAGTGGGCCAAAATTCCTCCACAACAATGTGAAGGACTCATGTTGCAGTTATTGCGGTAAAGGGTGGCAAAACTATTAGGTTTAGAAGGCAAGTACTTTTTCACACAGCAACAGTCAACTCAAGGTGCTTTATACTGTTAGGCAAAGACCCTACAATAATATTTTAAAAATGCATTTTGTATTTACTCAGAATATCTTTGTCTAGAGTTAAAATTTGTTTGATGATCTGACAAATATACCAAGAAACTAGGAAATCAAGGAGGGGAAAATACTTTTTACTGCACTGGGTTTACTGATTTGGTTGGACTAATGATTGCCTGATTATCAAGGGGCAGCTTTGTTATCCCTTCAGGTTTCATGCAAGTGAAGCAGCAATCAAAAGGTTACCCGTCTTGCAAAGAGCTGAAATACTGTTTTTTCTACAGCTCATGGAACAGAAAAGGCATTCAGACGTCTCTTTGTGCAGCTGATGTTCTCTTTGTTGTTGAATATCTTTGCCAGTCAGCTCCTTTGTTCTGGTGGTGCAGGAATAAGATACAGCTCCTCCCTGCTCCCATCAGATCCACATCAAATCCAACACCAACTATCCTTGCTGTTTCCCCCCTTTTTTTTCTCTGGGGGTTTCAATCCTTGCGTTTTTCACTCAATATATACTTACATCCTTAATCTTTTACCTTTGATAAGATAGAAAAGCTTATCACAATAGAAAGGAACACAGTTTTGGTTTTTTTAATCACAGGTTTGCAGGAAAAGCCTGCACCAAAGGATGAAGGGAAACAGTTTCTGACCACCACTCAAAAGCTTAGTATTGTTCCTGTAAATTGAGTTGCACCGTGCTCACAGGAGAATGCAGAATGACTTCCTCCCATGAGTGATAACGTAAAGCCCTGGTTTAGGCAGGATATGTTCTTCCGTCCTGGAGGAACAATGAATGGGGATTAATATGCTGCGTGACAAAGAAATGGAGGATTGAGGTTGCTGCCTCTCATAGCAACAGAGGTTCAGCGCAGGGAATTTATTCCTGCTTGTGACACACAGGTATGTGCGTGTGCTTTTTGCCTCATCTGGACTCACAATTCGAGCACAGACACACAACAAGTTATTTCATTCCCCCTCAGCTGATTATTGCAAATTCAACTTGGCCTTGGTTTGTGTCTGTGGGAGTAAGGACGGACCCGACCACATAGGTCACACTTTTGACACACTTTTTTTCCCCAGTTGCAGCTTTTCAGCTGCCAGCCACACATACACACAACAACAACAACAAACTCATCATGTCCCAGCACGTTGAACAGGCCTCCCTCCCACCCCCATGTGGGGGTCGCCTCCCTTTCTTTGTTGTGTTATAGGGTCTACCTTACAATTTAAGGCACCTTGAGGCAACTGTTGTTGTGATTTGGCATTGTATAAATAAAGTTGAAATGAATTGTAAACTCTAAACATCCACCAGGTCTCTGGTGACCTGGGTTGGGCTTTGTGGTAAAGTTTGAGTTTAGCTGATTTTCACTCGTTACAAGACTTAATTGAAATGTAACATCCTTTAGCCTGTTTTGCTGTTTCCCATGTGTCTAAAACAAAATGTGACCATAACCTGGATTTTAACACCAGCTATTTAAAACTCATACCAAAAACCTGTTAGACTTGTAAAGGTCCTTTCATTCCTAAGCTAAAGTTCTTGCTTACATTGGAATGCAGTCTGGGTAGCGATGTCACTCTCCAGGCAGTGAAGATGGCATCACTGTTAACACTGTTATCACATAAATTATGCTCTGTATGCTTCACGTCTAAAGTGCATAGTGCATTCACATTTCTAAAAGGGTGCTTAAAGCCCACAAGTTAAATTAGCTTTCTAGTCTGACTGATATCCAGATAGCAGAGACTTTAAACCTAATCTGGGCGATGTTTGGCACTTAGTTACAGCATTGAAAAGTATCCTGTTGGATCTGTGGCTGAACTGTTGCCATCAGTCAGTTTTGGTCCAGAGAAAACAGGGCCACATTGCTACTGTTGATGGAGCAGCCTGACATTTATTTGACTTTGAACTAGGAGGCTCTTGTATTGCAAGGGTGTATTCTTTCACATACTTTTCTCCTCTGTAAATAGTCACGGCTGCTTATGACATGTTTAAACAAACAATTTGTTTGTTAGTGTTAACTAAAAGATGAGCAAATATTAGACTTAAATGTATGTGCTTAGTACTGCTCTATTTCCAAAATACATGGACATGTTTCTTGTCAACAGGTTGATATTTGTTATACTGAGTAAAAGTGATGGCACATTTTGTGAGATATTCCAAGGGGATGGGTTATGTCATAAAAATAATTCAGGTAATATTCTCTTTCTCATGTTTTCCTCTTGTGGATACAGGGGATCCAATTAAGCATAACAATACAAAATGTTAAATGCAATTTTAACATGATGTAGAGCGATTTTGCCAGGTGCGCCACTTAAAAGTCAGGAGTAAAGCATGTTTTCAGTCAAATGAATGAACAAATATGTCTGCCTTCTTTTTCACTTCATGCTTTTAGTTCAGTTCAGATGTCCTTCAAACTGAAGGATAACCAAATGATTTATCTATTGAGAAGTACGAACGTAGAATGTAAATTTTGCAACAATGTGTCTCTTTGTGTATAAGAAGTGAGTCGACTGGCTTTGCAAATGTTTTCTTAGTCTCATTTATTTTCTCTTCCAGGAGTCTCCGTCAGCATCTCCACCTTCAGCCTGGTGGCCATTGCTATCGAAAGATACAGTGCCATCTGTAACCCACTGAAATCCCGTGCATGGCAGACCCGATCTCACGCCTATCGCGTCATCGCTGCTACCTGGGTGGTGTCATTGTTAATCATGGTGCCCTATCCGGTGTTTAGCACTCTCAAGTCTTTCCCAAGGCATAATGGTACTGTGGGCCGCATGTGCCGCTTGGACTGGCCCAATCCACAATCTGAGCAGGCCTGGTAAGTGCTTATTAACATGTTATGTTAAACTATTTGCCGCCAGAGAAAGAAATATAAAAGATAGGTGAAAAAAATCATGGTCTGTAATCAGTTTATCAGACATATCTTTATGTAAAGAAAAAAATATCTGTGTGGGCTGGATGACTAGTTTGGAAATGATGACTGCCAGCTATTTTAAAGCAATAATATCTACCATTCTCAATAGATAAACTCTTGCCAGCGTCTGTGAAAAGCAAGACTTCACATGCATTACAATTATTTGGTGTGATGTCTTCACAACCTTGACAGGGATAAGTGAGTAAAATATGAATGCAATGGAAATGGAATACAGTTTCCATGGCTTTGCTTCCAAAAGTGTGGAAATTCTTGGATTCTCACTTACATTAAGTGGAATTATGTAATTTGTGACCAAGAAGAAGTAACTAAAAGTTTCTTTTACTGAAAACGCTGCGTCCAGATAAACAGAATCAACTTTTTGGGAATCAAGTTTTCAACTATAAATTGATGACATTTCAATACAATTTTCCTGTCAACTACAAATCCATCTCCTGTCAGTATAATCTGTTCAACTATAGATCAAAGTCTTTTCAGTAGCTAATTATAACAGGACAACTTTGAATCAATATTTTTCCTATGGCATTACTATTACACTGTCAGGTTTCATCAATATTTTAACTTTGATTTGATATTTATTTAGCATTGAGATTTCAATCTTGACCATAATGATGATTTGGATGAAAAAAACAACATTAATTTAATGTGATTTTGCTATTTGGGCAGAACTGTATTAGATTACTAAAACCGTGATTTTTTGCGAGAATGTCTCATGACAGTGACGTAAGTGAGTGCGCCATTAGTGACAACAGCTGTGTGCAGATCAACAATCGATCATATATCGATTGTGGGAGAGAGTATGAGCGTGCAGCGTTTAAAGCGTGGAAGTACTGACCTTACTTTGAGTTTGATTCCATAAAAAGTGACAAAAACATTAGTGTCCATCGTGTGTGGGAAGAAAACTTCTTTTTACTGCGAAAAAACCCCCTAAACTTCCAAGCAAGCACCGAGTGCACTATGACATAATGGGAAATTCACAAAGAAACTCGCGGATTCTTCAACTGAATGCGGCACACCTGCACCAGGGTAAACCTCCGCCTACCGCAGTCCTGCTTTACAGGTGAAAATAGAGCAACAGGACCGCTAGTCTTTGACTTTATTTATTTTCTGCTGTGTTTTACTTGCATTTATTTGAAAGACTGAGTGTAAACACAAAAAATATTTTATTTTATGTGCTGGAATGTGCAGAAAATAGGTTTAAATGTTAAACTAATTTATTCAAGTCAGAGAATGTTGCATATAATTAAATTTTTGCTTGATGCATAAAGTTAAAAGATTAAAACTGATAAAACAAGTTCTAAAAGGGGACTTTTCCATTTGATTACATTTTGTATGATGGATTATGTAGAAAAAGTAGAATTGGGCTGAAAGATCTATCGCTTTATCACCTCTTCAGGTTGTAAATCGTGTTTTTAAAAAGTAACTAAGTAACTAAGTAACTAAGTAATTAATTACTTTTGAAAATAGGTCATCAGTAAAGTAACGGGATTACTTTTTTGGGGAAGTAATCAGTAATTAGTTACTGATTACTTTTTTCAAGTAACTTGACCAACACTGCTCGAGACATTTCTATTATAAACTCCTGTTTTCTATCTTCAAACAATTCTTCTCCTATGAGCAAAGCCAGTGTTGTGCATAGTACATTTCTATGGTGCCAAGAAAGTACAGTGTTACATTTTTTGAACTTTTTTTACAATTTAATCGCTTTTTGAAAAGTCCCCCAAGCTTGCTAACTGGATTGCTTGTTTTTTTTTAGCTTGTTTGCAATTCTGACAGTACTTTAGCATTATTGTTAAAAACCGTCAGGTCTAACTGCCTTTAAACATTTCTTCTTTCAAGCTGCAAGTGTTAATTTTAAAATGAAGTCAAACTGGACACGATAACTTTGTACAAATCTACTTTAACCCTTTGAACAGATTCACAGAATGTGAGGGTGCTTAAAATGAAATTAATTTGGTGATCAGTTTCACAGTTATAAATGCTGCTGTGTCCAAGCGTTTGGTGGATTTTCTCTTTGGTCAGAAAGAAATGTGAGAGGGATGAAAAAAGAGAAGGCTCTTAAATTCTTGTCATTTTAGAAATGAGCCCCCGGGCTGAAGTTGCTAAGGTGGCTATGGAGTGGGTGTTTGAAAAATGAATGAAATCAGTAGGTGAAAGTTTTATAAGACAAAATTAGTGAGCAGGCAGTTCCTGTTGAGAGCCAATATGAGATGGATCACTTTTGTAGCTTAGCAGGGGTTATACCAATAAATGGAGGCACTAGGAAAAAAAGGAAATAACTACATTATTACACAAATATTCTGCAGATAATGTGTCTACCCTCAGTGTGATCATTTCACTGTCTTTTTAAATTAATGCAATAATTTCTTCTTTCCCTACTCTTTGCTTAGAAAGAGGGAAGAGCAAATCTTATGAGAAGGTCAAGAGAGGACCGATTATTGCCGTTACAGTCTGGATTGCTCCACGTTAGGAAATTCATCTATTCATCTATAGCTCTCTAAAGGCCAGTAAAACCAGCTTTCTTGTTCAAAAGCTCCCCCAAATAGATGGATACCACCTCAGAGAAGACACGTTAAATCCTCTTGGGATATACTACTCAGGGATTTTTATAGATCTGTCTGTGAAAACTTTGGATTCTGTACGATGGTGCAATTAAAGTGAAGAAGAAGATGAACATGGCCAGAACTTGTACATCTCTTTTTCTCTCTTTTTGACAGCCTTTTGTGGTGGAACACTGATGAATTCTCTTTTCTCTGACTGTCTATCAAGCTCTTAAGCTTCACTGAGAAAGATGAGGCAGTGGGAGAGCAGTTAATTAGCCTGCTCAGTGAGGAGGTGGAGGAGGAAGGAGAAGACAATCAAGACTCAGATGTCAAAAGTTTCCATGTCACAGAGTACAAGCGCATTTCAACTTTTAATTCATTGTCAGGGGTTAAAGCTTCCTAAGAGATAACACAATCTAGCTTTCGCTAGATGAAATGGACACCTAATCACCGAAGCAGCCATTTTTAGGTTGAGATCCATAAAAGAGCCATAAAGTGGTTAAAAGTCAAAGTCAAGCAAAGTATATATTTGCACTTACACATCATGTTCACTGACAAAGTTGCAAAAAGTACTCTGAAACGATGACTAATCTTATTCATTATTCACTCCACGTTTTGATCTGAGCAGATAACATTTTGCATTAAAAAGGAAACTGTATGATTCTAACATTATGAATGGAGTGTCTTTGACTCTATCGATTTTTCATTATCAGCGTTGGACCTTTATTTAGACCTAAAATACATCTAAATCGTATCTAAATTACAGCTGATCAACTATTCAGATCAGAGCTCTGATTTTCAGTAGATAAACGAGTGCAAGATTTGGGTCTAAAACAGAAGCCTATGTTAGTGTTGCACATCTGCATTCCTTTTAATAGCTATCTGTAGGTGACTTAGGTGATTGGTAAATGGACTGGCTCTCACATTACATTACTTTTCTACTCTACTAGAGCACTCAAAGCATGTTATTCATAAAGGCACTCTTTTCTATGCCTAAGTGCTTTCTATCTAACATTCAATGCAACTGCAAAAAAACTTGTTGTTCTGTTGTTGGCCTTTCAATTTAGCTCTTGCCACAGCCGGAATAAAAGTCACGAAAGAACAGATTTTCTCTATCGTGAAACTGTATTAATAATAATGACAGCTCTTCACTATAGCCAGTGTAATATGTTGATCGTTATTATCATTTTGCACTTCTTCCTCATGAAGGTGTGCGCTGTCATTCCCTTTCCTGTTCAAGCACTTCTTCAACCAGTTAGCATTCTACCAACGCAAAACATTATCAATGGCAGATTAAGTTCTGCACACAGGCATCACTCTGGGAGCCAAAAACTACATAGACTAATGTGGTACCATAAATTCTGCTGGAGGCTTCACCATGGGACTTCACTTCCTACTCAGTGAAACTATGGTGGATTTCTTTTTATGTACAATCTCTGCTTCTATCTCAGACTTAATAAAGCAAAGCATAGCTGGATTTTACAATTTTATTTAAAGATGACTCTTGCAATTAATTTGTTAATTCTTCTTTTTGTTGGTTTTAGTAGTTTTCAGATGCATAACCATACAGCTAAAATCCACAACCTTAGAGACAATTTGAAGATGTATTAAGTTCTCGACCTTATCGTCCAACTAAAATCTGAGATATAAATAAAGCTGAACAAATATCCTTTGTAGCCATTTGAAGAGTTTTGAAGAGCCCCCTTTTGATCTTAACATAAACTACTGCTGGAAAGCTTGGGATCATTCTCAGATGTACTCATTTTTGAAAGAAAAGCATATTTTTTTCTCTAATTTAAAATTAAATTGATCAAAATTGTTGTGAATGGAAAATAATGATTATGACACAGTGGAACAGTTGTTCGCACTGTTGCCTCACAGCAAGGGTTTGAATCTGCCAGCTGGCCGGGCCTTTCTGTGTGGAGCGTCCATGCTCTCCCTGCGCTTCCATGGGTTTTCTCCGTGTGCTTCCTCCCACAATCCAAAGACATCCATGTAACTGCTACATCAGCTGTAATGTGTCTGTGTTGGCCCTGTGATGGACTAGCAACCTGACTGGGACATACCCTAGGTCTTGCCCAGAGACAGCTGGGACACGCTCCAGCCAGCCCCAACAACCCTGGATTGAGTGAGTGGCTAAGAAAACAGACAGATGTAATCAATCATTATAAAATCATTAATGGTTTAATGACTGAATGGTTTAATCTGTGTAGGCCTAGAAACAGCCATCACTCCTTTTTTTCAGTGACACATTGGGTTCCCTAATGCTATTTGATCACGTGAAAGACCAAATTGATCATGATTGCACAACTGAAAACTGTCGTGCTAATTAAAAAGCAATAA